TTCCTCTGATCCACTAATTTTGTCACTTGGTCAAAGAATGCAATAAGGTTTGTCTGGCATGATCTGTTTTTGACAAACCCATGTTGGCTTTTAGTAGTGATTTTGTTTGCCTCTAGGTGTTCGCTGATTCGTTGTTTGATTATCTTTTCCAGAATCTTCCCAGGTATTGAGGTCAGGCTGATAGGTCTGTAATTTCCTGTCTGTTAGTGAGAATTAGATCAAAAATGGCTAATCCCCTAGTTCCCTTCTCTACTTTTTGGAAGACAAAGTTGTCTGCTAGGTTTGTCAGGAATCTGGTGCACTTGGTGCAGAGTTTGTCTCCCAGTTGATGTCAGGGTAGTTAAAGTCCCCCATTACTATTGTGATGTGCTTCCTACATACCTTAGTTAGCTGACTAGCAAAAAGTTCATCTATTTCCTCTGTTTGGTTGGGTGGCCTATAGTATACACCTATGGCAATGTCATTTTGCTCCCTTTTATATTGACCCAAATGCATTCAAGACAGTTTTCATCATTGTTGTGCTCTATTTCTGTAGAGATGTAGTTATTTCTTATATAGAGAGCAACTCCACCTCCTCTTTTATTTGGTCTGTTTCTTTTAAATAATTTAAATCCCTCTAGCTGTGTGTTCCATTTGTGGGTTTCATCCCACCATGTTTCTGTAATGGCAACAATATCATATCTGCTCTCATTAACCTGAATTTCTAGTTCACCCTGTTTGCTGTTCATACTCTATGCATTGGTGTATAGACATTTGAGTCCTTTATGACTGACCCTGTGTTTACTTTCTACATAACCTGTGTGGTGCCTGAGTTCCCCTATTGTCTTACCACCTGTTAGTGCACTTTGTCTTGCACTCACTATTGAAAGCTTGATTTTGCTTTACAGCAAGGTTGATAGTGTTTTCCACATACACATCTATGTTACATGCACTAATAGCCCTATAGTTTTTAGATTGCCGGGGACAGGGATATTCTGTATCAATTAACTCACTGTCCCCGCTGTTTAGTTTAAATATTGCTCCAGAAAATCTGTGAATTTATAGCCGAGTAAGTCCCTTTCTTTGATGGATGCAAACCATCTCTTTTGTACATTTTTTCATTGGACCAGCAAAGAATATTATGATTGGCTAAACCACTTACTCTATACCAAAGTTAATTTGGAAACTAGAGAATCATCCTGGATTAAAGATGCATCTGATTAATTAAAAGGGTGCTCAATTTATAGAAGAATGTTCTCCAGATGGATTGGAATTTACCATGCTGCCTGCTTGGAATTCTGTAAGTTGTGGTCCCAACATGCCCCATGACATCCTGTAGGAAAGGCTGGTTGGAAATTGACTTGGAAAATCCAGATTTTTCAATGAGACTGTTTTTGGATAGCCATTTATTGTCAGACTGATAAAACTGTTGTGAGTTGGGGAAAGAGGAGCTAAATACACAACCTTGAACCCCTTGGGGAATTTAATTTAGGATTAAATCCTAAAATACTAATTGTTATGAATTTTAACTGGTAAGTGAAAGATTCACTGAGCTCATTCAATATTAACCTGTAAATGAAAAGTTCATTGAAGTATGGTAAACCAGAGACTATGGGCTGCAAGAGAAATGATTTTACAGTGAAACATCTACCCATTCTCCTTGGCTACTTCAAATCCAGTAAGTAGAAGACCACCATGCTCAAGCAATTTTCTCAGAAATGTTCTCCTTTAAAAAAAATGAAAATAAGCTACCATGAAATTGAATGAGAATGAATAGATTTTTTTTGGGGGGGGGGGCAAACGTAGTAATGCACAATTTTAAGTGTATAGCAAATGAAAGGTAAGGTGCTTTGGTCTTACATAGCCAATTAAGACTTTTTTTTAAACTGTTCTTTGTTGGTCCAAAAATAATTTCTGATCTTTTAATCATGAGAAAGTGTTTTTTCCATGATCCTGGTGAAAAAAAAAAACCATCCTGAGGAAGCTTGAACATCATTTCAAAGCATCAAGAAAAGGTACTGGTAGTCCTCGACTTACAACCACAATTGAGCCCAAAATTTCTGTTGCTAAGTGAGGCATTTGTTAAGTGAGTTTTGCCCCATTTTACGACTTTTCTTGCCACAGTTGTAAAGTGAATCACTGCAGTTGCTAAGTTACTAAGTTACTAACTTTCTGACTTGGCTTGTCAGAAGGTCACAAAAGGTGATCACATGACCCCAGGATACTGCAATGTCAATTGCCAAGTGTCTGAATTTTGATCACATGACCATGGGGATGCTGCAATTGTGTGAAAAACAGTCATAAGTCATTTTTTTCAGGGACCTAACTTCAAACAGTCATTAAATTAACTGTTGTAAGTTAAAGACTACTTGTAATTGTCATGTCTTTGTTTGTTATTCAATGTCCTTTTCATGCTTTGTTGCTGGATTTAATATAATGTTGAATGGAGGCTTTGTCACAAAATAATTAGTAATATACATTTGTCATCTAGAAACCAGTTCACAATTGTCTTCATTCTCCAATTACAGGCCATTCATTGTCAAGTGTTCCCCATTTCCTCAAAACACCAAGCTGACCAGAAGTTGCACTAGAAAATTTCATTTCCCTTGGGTTATACAGTGCCCAATAACTTTATAATACCGGCTAATGTACATATATCCCTCAGAACATACTGGAACAAGAAGCAAAATCTACACCAGGAGACAATGATACTTCAAAATGGTTTCAGCTTTAGTGAACTCCAGCCAGGATAAACTCCATGTTCTTGCTCCATCAGACCCACTGTCAACTGGTTTTTGAAGATATATATGCAAATAGTCATAAATGCAAAGTCAGCCCCAGATCATAGACTGCAACTAATTTTCCCATTCTTGCCTAACCATCAGGCCCTTCTAAAGAAACATAATTGATTTTTTTTAATCTTTAGTAACCAATTCACTTAAGAGATGGTAGAATTTTGTTTATTGAAAGTCCCCACAGCAAGCCTGAATTTTACATCCCCAATTGCTTCATCAAATGACTATGCTTTCCCAAGCCCAAAGAAGCCCTTCAGGAAGGTAGTACTTCTTATGTACATGAACAGATTGTTCCACAGAAATAGGGATAGCATTGACAATAAGAGTCCCTACAATGGACCTTTCTTTGGGACTGGATCCTCAAAAGGCCTCTCCCTGATTTAACTGCAGAATCATTTCAGATCAGGCAGTCTTGGAAATATCCAGACACTGAGGTAAGGTAATAACCAGCAATTTAAACTGTCCCTAGATGACTGACCACCAGTGCAGCTTCTTGAATAGAGATACTAGCAAAGATAGGCTCACCCATAGCCACTTGGCAGTGTGTGTTGAACAGTTGCAGATAGTCTTCAAGAGCAACTCCACAAAGAACAAATTGTAGTAGTCCAACCATGAGGTGAGAAGGGCATGCATGTCTATGTACTGTACTTCATGATTAAAGAAGACACAGCTGGCATATCAGATATAATTGTCCAAAGGCTCTCCTTGGCCATAGTTTCCTCTTACTGCTCAGACTGTGAACTAGTTTATGAATGAACTCTGTTCAAGGGAAGCATGACCCAACCCAGAGCTGTAAATGGATCATCTTAGGATTCAGAAGACTTTTGGACCCAAAGCCACAATCTTATAATCTATGTGTAACAGGTTAAAAGAAAACAAACATAAACACATATTGTTCCATTAATGTTAGTGTATAACTTTCCTTCTCCAAATAGTCATCAACTGTTTTGCGATGAAATAAAATGAAATTTGGCCTCGGATGATGCATCAAGATCTTGTGACTCTGATGCAACACAGAGGAATTCTGAATGTTCCTGTGCTAAGCTGTGCAAACAAGCTACAAACCAATAAAGAAGGATATTTGTAGGTCAGGTTTGAAATGAGGGGTCCTTGGTGGTCGTTTCCTTGCAGACATTTCATGACCCAAAGTAGGTAACATCATCAGTGCACTGATGTTATCTAGTTTGGGTAAGAAAACATCTGCAAAAAAACAACTACCAAAGACCCCTCAAACTACAAACCAGCTTAAAAAACAAAACTGCAGTGAGACCACAAAACTCTCAACCAAGTCCTGTTTTTATTGCTTCCGACTTTGTTTTTCCCTATTCTTTATCCATCATCATTATTGCTATTTTCTGAGTTTCTTTTTTTAAACTGAACAGAGCTGATTCTATTAATAGTTCAGAGTTGCTCCTTTTGATTGAGGGTGTTTAATTTAATGGTCAACATGTGGAGCTACGCTTAACTGCCAGACCTCAAGACTCTCTAAAAACCAGTTTGTGGTCACTCTATATCCTGCTTACAAGAGAGGCCTCAACATAATTCTGAAACCCTTTTGCAAGCCAGAAGTTGGATTTCTGCTGAGAGCAAACTTGTTCTCCAGAAATCCACTATGGGAGGAGTTGTTTTAGAAAATAAGAAAGGAAGGAGCAATGATGCTCACATTTCCATCTTGTCCTTCTCATCATTATATGGCCTTTAACAGATTCCCCCTGGGGAATAAGGGATAATGGGAAGTCACTGATATGAGAAAAAAAATCAGTTTAAAAAGGAATGTTTCTATATTCGTATTTGGAGTTTTCGGGTGGAAGGCTAATGAGAAAGGGTAATTTTTTTTATTAGACATTTTAGAGAAGTATATTTTATTAGACAATTTAGAGAAGTATAAATATAGACAAAAAGAATAAAGAGTAAAATACATAAAAGAAATCTAAAATATTGCAATTAGTTTTTCAATATATCATTAGTTATGAGTTATAGGATCTATTATATTGCTTTAAAAACTTAAAAGTAATTACTGTTGGGTCAAAACATCAAAATGTGATTACAAAATTGAAGCCCTGTCCCTTTTTAATGGGTGTTGCCAATGCAGATCAAAAGGGAATAGGCTTTAATTAGGCAATTATCAGACCATTCTGAATGTTTTTTAATTTCCCCACTCCTAATACCCTTGGGTAGTGTCAAGAGAAAATCAAATCTAGGTACGTATTATGCCTGAACACATGCAAACTCACACAACACAAGCCTATGTCAGTTTTTGCTACATTTGGCAATTATTAACAGGAGGATCTTCTTTTTGTTCTTGGGCTACAAGCAATCCACAATTTCTCCCAAGAGATGTGATGTGATTCAACTGGAAAAACAATCTCTCCACCCTTGTGGCTTCATTCGTTTCAGCAAGGAATGAAGGATGTGTATATGGGGGGTGGGGGTGTAAACTACCAATGTAAGATTAGTGTTCAAATTGTGTTAAACACTGATACAGAGAAATTACTTTTTGCAAAAGCCCTGTGGCATTCAGGAATGTGGCACATGTTCAAATGTTACAGTATTCAAATCCACAAAAGAAAAAATAACCCTCAAGTTTAGCAAGCTAGAAAAAAACAACTTGTGATCTTTGCCTGAACGGAAAGAGCTCTGATATCAGCCTCCAAAATGTTTTGCTTTTTTAATTCATCTCTACCATTTTATCAGAATTTTTTTCAAGTTAAATATTTTCATATTTAGACCCCTCAAATATTGCCAAATATAAGTACAACAAAAATGGGACTTAAAGCCAGTGTAGTTAAGCAACAGCATTATTCCAGAGAACCTTGAGCCAAAAATTAAATCTTGCACCTGGGATCCTAGGAACATAAGAAGTGTTGGAGAACAAAGGGTCTTGGTGCAAGACAGAAATTTAATTAAACAGCGGTTAAGAAAACATCTAAGGGATATAATGACTATTTCTTCTGTTCATATTAAGCTACTTCATTAAGTTGCAAGATATACATTCAGAGTCATTTACTATTTACAAACATAGACAATTTCCCTGTGTATTTGAACAAATCAATCATTTAAAAATAAACAAGTTCTTTGACTGGTTGCCACCCTTAATTTTAAGAAATAACATCTTTCCCTCTAGAATAGGCATGATCGCCTATGGAAGCATTCCAAAATCCTCTTACTTTTCATATTAAAATTTGTTTCTCAAACTCGTAAGTAATGTTTAACTATATCTTTTTCACAGTGCACTTTTGACTTCTTTCTTTTTACACACTGTAGGAGCAAGCAAAAAAGCCTTGCTTATTGGCAGTTGCCCTCAGATTTACACAATGAAAACAGCGCAGTCTGACAAAATTACAAAATCATTTATTAAGCCTTTCACAAAGTTGACTTAACACACAAGATAGCTTTCCAAAATAAAATTATGAGCAAAATCATAAAATTAGTAACCTTCTTTCACACTCGTAATCTTCTGATTACTTATTTTACATTGTCAATTGGTAACAGCATCAGGGATTAATTGTAGCATATGCAAATTTCATTTGTATGCAATGACTGGATTTGAGGACTGATAGGAGGAGCTTGTGGCCAAATAAATGAAAGTGCTGAAGCATACGTGCAGCATATAAAGATAACTGGGCAAATATAAAAATTACATTCAATACTGAATACAGATTTTTACACAATGTAGACTAAGCATTAAGAAAGTTGAATTATATGCACATAACCTACAGTTCATATCTGGGTTACAGAGAAGGGAAGATTTAACTAATCAGTAGAAAAAATAAAGTATAACATATCCAGCCAATTCAAAAAGTTTTCATTGGCTGCTTCATAAAGAAGCACACATTGGAGGACATCCTTCAAACTATCCATTTCCAAGCATCAATAGTAATTATGGAAATATTAATGTACAGATGGGCAATCATCTTTAGTGCTTATTACCAGACACAAGAGAAGGCCTTGACCAGACATAATGTAAGTATATGGTCTGCCATAAGAATAAGCCTCAGTGAGCCCCAGATGTTCGCCTCTAATGTTAGCCTCAAAAGTTTTAGAATTAATTTCTGTTTGTCAAATTATCTAAACTCAGTCCAATTTCACTCTATAGTTTATGTGATTTGCCTATAAGATTAACCACAATATGGGGTTCAGACTATACACTAAACTTTGGTTAACATAAAAAGGAAGCCTTCAATCTCTTTGTAACTGCATAAGGACAAGTCTCACTGAAGCTAATTATTGTCAGAATGAAGCTGTTGTAGTATACTAAAAATAATCATTCTATTAAAACTACCTTTACTACAATTAAATGAAACTTTTAAATATTGTGTCCTCAAATGTTGAATCTTAGAGTTCAAGGAACATAGGAAAGCTGTGGGAGACCTGAGTGTTTCAAAAATTATGTGCATACGTTTGAACTCCCAGCATTAATGCAAGGCCCTTCTCTATTTAGGCATTTGTTTAGGCATTTGAGTATCAACTGGGAATTTAGCCTTCTGAATTCTCACCATCAATACAAGCTGTTCTACAGATTCTAAGCAAGTCAATACAGCCCATGCTTCATCACTTTATAGCTAGATTCCTCATATGAGGGGGGTTGTTTTGCCCCAACTTGGATATTATACTCTTCATTCAACTAGATTATAGAATGGTAGACAAGTTCACAGATGCAAATCTAATGGTTTATTTAATAAATATAGTCAAACAGGCAGGAGAGAAAACAGTGCCGAAACTGTGACTTACTAAGCACATTACTCAATATAATTTTTTGCACAAATAATATTCAGCATGTTATTTATAAATTCTCAGGTGCTATTGAATTCCCACACAATTCTGTCAATGGACTTCTGTATAAAACAATTAAACATACTATTATATAAAAATAGAAATATGTTGTGGGATTTTACAAAACTTTATAGCTAAGTTGACATTTCTCTAAAATTGACACCACTATAGAAAGAATATTGTATAAAGTAAAAAATGTACTGGAAATACCTTTTGTACTATTTGTCAGGTCTTGGTTTTAGACATTTAAAATAAAGTCACCTGCAATTCATTTACATCTTGAGGTCAGCTGTGTATGAATGTTGTTATTTCAAATGAATAGCTAGCCTATTCTCCCAATTTGTGCTTTTAGAACACAGTTTATTTTTAAATCCACGTCCTATAGTTTAAAAATGTTAGTGAATGATCTAAGGATTTAAATATCAAATCACAACATTACAGGAAATAACATGATCTGAGACAAGAGTTTTCACTTAACCATACCTGATAATTATAAACATTTAACAATATCATACAAGTTTGAAAGTAGTTTAGCTATCAATCCATCTGAAAGATTAATTTCTTAAAAGCCCCCATTTGTTTTATTCATTTTGTGGGAGCACCATGCTTGTGATCAACTCACAATAATCATTACGCAATAGTGCTGAATCTGTCTTCATCTTGCGTCTTAAGGAAATTTTCTTTGTGCAAGGAGCTGCTGGACAGCCCTCAGTTCTAGGGATGAAATCACAACCCTTATTACTGAAATCCCATTATACAAGAGCAATTAATCCTAACAGCACCAACTGTTTCTTAGATCATCATGCCAGAGGTGCAAGGTTATTTTTTTTCCTGCAACAGTGCAATCATTACAAGGCACTGCTTGGTGTATAACATTTTGCATTGCTTTTAAATAGTTACTAACATTTCAGAATTTATAATATATAGAATAAAGGTGAACTATCAGTTTCAAAGTTTGGTTAGATGTCCTTTTCAATCTGCTAACCAAATTACCAGTTTCATACAGGTTTAATTCCCCCATCCTAATATTAAAAGAATTCATACTATGGAATACTTATTAGTACAAACTGCAAAGAAAACAATTGTGCTATATTTTCTAATCTTCCTGTTCAGAGAAGGGGAACTGCTGACCAATTCACTTGTAGAAAGAAAATCAAGTATACGTGGCTGGAAAGTATTTGCAACAGTCAATCCCTGCAGAAAGAGTAATGACATTTTTGGAGGTTTAAATACTGAGGCACATATGATTCAAAGGTTTTTGAGGCAAATTTAATGGCTAGGGTAGATTTCTCAGGAGAAGTTGTAACTAGAGGTTTTTCATACAACTCAAGTTCAAACACCAACTGTAATATAAAAACATTTTCTTCCATTATTTAGTCACTGCTGTCATCATCATCATCATCATCTGATATGTCATTTAAAGGAGGCTTTGGTGACTGGCTATAAGAGTCTGATCTTGTGGGCTGGCATGTTGACATCTCTCCCATGGAAAGGAATTCATAACAAAAGTCACAGATTCGCACAGGCTTGGAAGACTGACTGGGAATAAGAAACCTCTTTTCAGAGCAGGGTCCACAGACAACAAATCCACATTTCCGACAGTGGTGTCGACGATTCACAGGGGTAAATTTTGCTTTCTGGCAGCGCATGCAAATAGTGGCTTCTGAGTCGGGTACCCAGACAGCTGCATGCTCATTACTGGGCGTCTTCCCACTTTTGGACAGCAAATCAGAAACACATTTATTTATGTGGTTCATCCATTCAGATTTTTCTGTGGCAGTAGCAGCATATACTGCAAAAGATTTAGTTGGAGTTTTGATAAGCCATCCATTCCGCAAATCCCCCTCATCTTGGATAGATTCAATAGTGACGTTTTCGAGAGGAATGATATGTTGCTTATTATATTTCTTCTTCTGGATAACAATGTTACCATATACAAGGATATCATTGAATAAAAAAAACTGCCTTGCTTTTGGTTTCTTCCTACACAGCTTTGTTAATACTCCTTCACCAATGAGTACACGGCCAGGAATGGTCAGAGGCTGACCAGCAGCTCCAAAACAGTTCTCCACTACGCTTATTCGCCTAGTATTTGCTTCACTGTTTGCCAAGCGATCCACCATTTTTTACCACGTTCCTAAAACAGAGAAGAATAAATAGTTAAGTCACTGCAGCTATTCAATCAGAAGCTATATATGAAGTATAACATATATATCTGACGCCACCCCACCCTTATTTAAATATATACAGGATGTTTTCAAAAATAAGAGGAAATTTCTAGAGTATCAACTAAAACCCAAAAACACTCTAAGAATTGGAGACAATCTTCCACTCCCAGTGTATGTACAGAGTAAAAATGACGACCCTGAAGGCGTTGTGCAAGAAAAAAGGAGTGAAGCATTTTTTAAATCCAAAACAAGATAACAAACAGAAGCAGCTCAATCCCTAGCCTCCCTAATACACTGAATTATAAGAAGGAGGAAGAGATACAGCACCATCCCTCTTGCAAGATCTTGTTATTATAGCCAATTTCAATAGAAATGGTTGTAGTCTTCCTGTGGAGTTGTTTTCTGAGTCTGGTCTACCAGCAAGACCAACAATATATTGATGCAGGAGAACCCTGTTGAATTTGGTAGGGAACATTGCTACTTGAAAGCTGTGACTTAAATTTTCAATTAACCACTTTGTGGTTCATTTAAATTGTGTATGAAATAAACGAGACAGATTGTGAGCTAATAGAACCAAAACCTACACAATATTGGAAGTTGCAGATTTTACTTGAGACAAATCCAGACAAGTCTTGTGAGGCAAGTAGGACTAACTAGTATGCCTCTCTCTTCTCCCCACCTCTCTTTGTGTGGCCTGTGGCTGTGCTACTCCCAAAATTTTCTCGCTCCTCCTTTTCTCTTACTTCTTTTACCCATGCTCCGATGTTCCCTATAATTTTTAATATGTTGTGTGTGGAAAAAAAATTATACAGCTTTCCCCCAAATCAAGCTCAAATTTGTGTACTACTATAAAAGCAAATTATAAACATATATAAAAGCAACATGGAAGAATGTTTATATAAATTTCTTAAAGCACAGAAACTAGGAAGTGTAGTACGTCACATACATACATGCTTAAAAGTTGTGCCTTTAGGTAATTTGTTACTCCTGAGAACTGTAGGGATTAGCCCAAGATCACCCAGCTGCTTATGTGCTTAAGAAAGGGCTATAACTCACATTTTTTTGGTTTCTAGCCTGAACCATTATCCCAAACTGACTCTACACGAATATGCTTATAAATCAACATAAGAATTGCTAGCCATGGATAATTACAATCAATACTTTATACACATTTACAATTGTTTCAGGAGGAACTGATATTCTAATGAAATAAAACTAGAAGCTACAAAAATCTCCTTTCTCATTTATACTTATACTTTTACATGTAGTTTACCCCACGTGCTTATTTTTATATTAGAATGCGCAGGTAGTAATCCTATCATTCAGTATACTTTTGCAACTATTATGTTATCTAAAATATAGTTCAACTGTTACTCAAAGATGCCTGGACCTATTAAAGGAAGAAGAGTATATGCTTTTTTAGAAATAATAAAAAATAATAAATTAAAATGAACACAAGAGGTTCAAGAGAATAGATGCTTGACAGTAACAACACCTGAACTGGAGGATGGAAGTATAATATCTGCAAATTCAATATATTACAGCAGCCTGTTGAAATTGAATACTTAAAAAACAACAACCCCAAGGATCAGGATATAAGCACTGGAGCCATGGTAATCACTCAGTTGTAATGAGATTTTAAATAGATTAATGTATTCACAAGAAAATCTCTTTTAGCACTTGTTTAAGGAGAAACAGAAAAAACAATTTTGAAGGAATCTAATATATTTATACTCACCACATTTGCTCAGTTTGGATAGCAACTTTAATTGGAATTCTAATTTAAAAAAACTTATGAGCAATGTTGTTCAAATCAGGATAATCAAAGTGTTCTAGAATAGTGAATGCCAACAAATAGCAGAAATGGAATTCCTTGCACTTTCTAGCTGCTTTTAAAATATATATATAGCTTGCAAATTATTAAAACTATTTCTATGGTGAATGAAATTATTCTGAGAAAAAATGGATCTTTCTAAACACTAAAACAAGAAACACTCATTCAAAAGAAAGAGCATGCCTGTTCTGCTATTTTAATAGATTGGCTATAATGACTTTATAATTTATCACCTTCTATGAGAAGGCAACCCTGTGTGGCAGGATGGAATTACTGCGCATTAGACTGGTTTTACAACTTATCTCACTTTAGTACTTTATTACACCAAAAGAATCAAGAGGTGGCTCTAAACAGTATAAGATTGAGAAACACTTATCTATTTGATATCTGTACATCTCTACACTCAGATTCAATCTTTCTCCAGCATAGGAGATGGAGAATCCACCAGTGGATTCTCCATCTCCATGCTGAGAAAAGGCATTCAGGTAAGGCAATGCCCCTTCTCAAAATCAAGAATTCCAGTGTAACAAATTCCTCCCAAAATTTCATTATTCCCACTTTATTAAATCTTCCATATTGAGCTGATCTCATACTCTGATACTCTTTTGCCTTTCTCCATCCTCTGAAGAAGTAAAATAACAAAAAAAGTCAGAAACTTTCTGAAGAGATTATGATTGGCAGAGTTTGTCCTAATGAGAAGTCACAATTTTGTGCAGGGGACCTTGGTGCTCTCTGAGCTTGCTTGTTTTCTTGCAGCCGTTTCATTACCCAAGTAGATAACATCATTAGTGCTAGTGCCTTCTTCATGCCTTTTTGAAAGATCTGTCACACCTTCTCTTTATACATAGTGAATTGTCACATACATTAACAATAAATTTTGCTTTTATTTAATCCTTCTATTTAGGCATTTTCTATATGAGAATTTTAAACCAGTTAGAAAGTAGCTCCAAGCACCTGTATTCCTACAATTAAAACAACTCTCCAGCACCAACTCAGTTGCAGTGAGGTGAAATGATTATCACAAAGCTGGGTTGTTTTCTGGTTTTTAAATGCTATGACTCTGTTCCCTCACTGGAGGGAACTCTTGGCTCACCTCTCCAAGTTTCTGAGCTTCAGATTCCATAAGGGAAATATTAGATTGACAGATTCGTTGTTCCTCCTCAGTAACCTAAACAAAACAGCAGGACTATAAGTGTTTTGTTAAATCTCCCCCTTCTCAACAAAGGAGGCTGACATGGTCTTTTTTCTTTTAATTCACTCATTTTTACATAAAGTGGAAGTGAAAAGGGTTTTATTGCTGCAGGAGTCCCAGCAGTTTAGGACCTTCAAACTGAAGATGTAGATATGACTATTTTACCATATTATTCCACTTCCCATTCTACTACTTTTCTTTCATGTGAATGAACTGTATCTTTCAACTACTGTACTCCAGATGTGAAAATCCTTGCATCAGACCTCAGCTATGCCTATAAAGTCATATGACATTCCCATGTAAAGTTCAATCTCATCTTTATTCCACTTTAACACAGTGCTTTTCCACCTTTTTCAGATTATAGCACACTGTCAACATGTTCACTTGTGTGGATATAAATCTCATAGGTGGGACTTCCAGGTTACAAAACTGGAAGTCTTGCGACATCACAGGTTGCTGAGACTTGAGAGGAGAAATGGAGGCAGTCCAGCTCTGGCGATGTCATAGCAATGGGGCTCTAGCTATGCAGCTATGCAACACTTCCTGTCATTTATTTGTGGCTCACTGATGCGACACATGCATAGACCTTTTGCAGCACCATAGCTGTTTAACATAAAGCCAATAAAGGTATTAACTTTGATTTGAAAAGTTCATCCTGATTTTCACTGAACAACCCACTACTGTACAGTGTTTCTCAATCTCAACAACTTTAAGGTATGTGGACTTTGACTTTGAATATTCCAACCAATGTGCTGCCTGGAGAATTCTGGAAACTGAAATCCACACATCTTAAAGTTGCTGAGGTTGAAAAACACTGATTAACTAGACCCCAATCTAGTTATTCTTCCATTTATTCCTATAAAATACAACATCCTATTTCTGGGCTTTGACATCTAATCCAAACCATAACTAACACTTTACTATACTATACACTTTACTCTCCTTTTAATCTAATGTCCTCATTCAGTAATAATTATATCAGGAATGCTACACTTGCATCCTCTACTGAGCAGGGACTGGAGTGGACTAGATCTGAAAAATCCATTCCAATTCTCTAATCAGTTCTGCTTTTCATCTTAGAAATGAAAACCATTGGTCTTGAGCCTTTCTTATATATAGGCTTCTTTTCCTAAATACAAATGAATGTTATTTATTATTACATTTATATGCCTCATCTCTCAATTACAAATGTAACACAAAACAATGCAATATTTTGCAGCTTTATCCGAAATAAGTGGTAAACATTTGCAAAATCTGACTGTGCTCAATAGTTCAGAGTTGAATTTCTCTACATAAACATTAGGAACAAGACTTAATTATAGCACATGAAGAGAAGAAATTGATTGTTATTTTTGTTAAGTATCTCACAGAAAAAAGAAAAAGTAAAATTGTAGACGAAAGATACCAAGAATATAATTATTCATTTCACAAGAGCCTAATATAAATTGTGATTGAATCCAGAATGTGGAATTTTAAAATTCCTAGTTGAGTCAAGTGTTTCAGTTTTTAAATTAAAGATTATTAGTTAAAAATGATCTTTGGGGAACTGGGAAAGAACAAAGGAAATAAATGAATTATGACCCAAGTATCAGTTCTCTTAATAATGCTTTTATCCAAAGAACAGAGAAAGAGTCCAAAGTTCCAGTTATCTAGTAATTCCTATTGTTGGCTACACCACAATGGATTTCACAAATACAGCCATTTTTCTCCTGTCAAAGAAAAAAGGCACCACCTTAGCATGCATAAACATATAGGTGGAGTGCAGAACAGTTTTAAATGAAGGTAATAGTAAGGTTTTAATGATGCTGAACTACAATTACATTAATGGAATGCTACAGTCACAATCACAGACAACCACCTGCTTCCAGGAAGTTTTAGAATTCAGGAAAATATTTCCTTAACTATAATACTCACTGATAACCTTGATGAGTTTGTCACTAAAC